ATTAAAATACGCGCACGTGTACCTGTATATTGCATATCTAGTGTCACTTCATTTCCCAGTGTGATGTATCAACGAGACATAAAATGGGAAATGTAAAAGAAACAAACTAAACTTTAATTCGTTGGAAAATAACGCCAATGAATTGGTGTTCACGCGCATGAATTCGTATGATAAACTGTCAAAACGTTTTGAGAGGTAAGGTCGGGTTCATTAAAGATCGTTGCAATTTGTAAAAAAGGTGAAATTTGTAACACTTCTGCAAAGGAAACATCCAACCAAAGGCCCTTTTTAAATAGTAATGTAATGATATAATATAAAGTATATTTCACATGATACAATATACTTTGTACACAATTAGTTAATTCTTTAAATGGACTGACGAAAACATGGGCGAAATATTTAATAACGCCAAAAATTAGTTGAATTAAGTTAAAACGAGTTGAATCATGTGTCATGCTTATAATCCCTTAATGTATTGGCGAAACTAAAACTGTTGAGCAAAGGAAAATATTCTCGCCCATGGGCCAAACCTTTTTCTCGCCCATGGGCGAAATATTTCAATATCGCTAAAAAAAATAGTTGAATCAAGTTAAAATGAGTTACATTTTGTGTCATGATACTTGAAAGAAATATATTTATGTTTTTGTGAAACAAAAACATGAGTTTTAAGTAATGGAACCTATTCTCGCCCAAGGGCTAAACCTTTTTCTCGCCCATGGGCGAAATATTTCAATATCGCTTTAAAATCGTTGAATTAAATTTAAATGAGTTAAGTGTTGTGTCATGATTCTTGAAAGAAATACATTTATGTATTTGTGAAACAAAAACATGAGTTTTAAGTAATGGAACCTATTCTCGCCCATGGGCTAAACCTTTTTCTCGCCCATGGGCGAAATATTTCTATATTGCTTTAAAATCGTTGAATTAAATTTAAATGAGTTAAGTGTTGTGTCATGATTCTTGAAAGATATACGTTTATGTATTTGCGAAACACAAACATGAGTTTTGAGTAAAGGAACATATTTTCGCCCATGGGCCTGCCCATAGGCCAAACCTTTTTCTCGCCCATGGGCGAAATATTTAAATATCGCTATAAAATAGTTGAATCAAGCTAAAATGAGTTACATTTTGTGTCGTGATACTTGAAAGAAATATATTTATGTATTTGCGAAACAAAAACATGAGTTTTAAGTAAAGGAACATATTCTCGCCCATGGCATGGGCTAAACCTTTTTCTATATCGCTATAAAATCGTTGAATTAAATTTAAATGAGTTAAGTTTTGTGTCATGATACTTGAAAGAAATACGTTTATGTATTTGCGAAACACAAACATGAGTTTTGAGTAAAGGAACATATTTTCGCCCATGGACCTGCCCATTGGCCAAACATTTTTCTCGCCCATGGGCGAAATATTTCAATATCGCTATAAAATCGTTGAATTAAGTTAAAATGAGCTACATTTTGTGTCATGATACTTGAAAGAAATATATTTATGTATTTGTGAAACAAAAACCTGAGTTTTAAGTAAAGGAACCTATTCTCGACCATGGGCTAAACTTTTTTCTCGCCCATTGGCGAAATATTTCAATATCGCTATAAAATCGTTGAATTAAATTTAAATGAGTTAAGTGTTGTGTCATGATTCTTGAAAGATATACATATATGTATTTGCGAAACAAAAACATGAGTTTCGAGTAAAGGAACATATTCTCGCCCATGAGCGAAATATTTCAATATCGCTATAAAATCGTTGAATTAAGTTAAAATGAGTTAAATTTTGTGTCATGATACTTGAAAGAACTACATTTATGTATTTGCGAAACAAAAACATGAGTTTTGAGTAAAGGAACATATTCTCGCCCATGGGCCTGCCTATGGGCCTACCCATGGGCCAATCTGGGCCTGAGTTTTTTAACCAATTTCTTTTTCATTTTTTCTTCCTTGGTATGTTCCCATGAAAACAGCATGTTTAATTCTGTAAATACCTTTGACCGTGACTGGGCAAAGACCGTAGAGTTTCTGGACTATTGGGTTTCCAGAATTAAAATGGGACGTGTTTTATAATGTCGTCCACGTTCAATTTCTAAATTGTGAGAACTAAGCCGAAAACGAGTCAATGTGGTTCTGAATTTATTTACTGTAATACTACGCAAATAGTCTCACATGAAATGGATGTTTTACACTGTGCATGGTAAGCCATTTGGGGGCTTTCAGATAAATCACTATGCCAAACCTGAAAAAAGTTGTCTTTTAACCGTTGACGTGACATATTTAAAAATACGGTTTTATTACCACATGCTTGAAAGAACCAGACATCACCAAATCCTGATCTAAAAATCACAGTTTTAAGTTTCGTTACCCAATTTATGTGGCCTTGATTATCGTACAAGCGCAACATATTGTAACATTTTGGGGGTAACGGGATTCCTGCATATTGAAAAGAGACAGGCAAAATTTGACACATTTCAAAACAGCAAGCACCTGGATAGAGTATCTACCACACTCGCCTTACACCCCATTGTTTGAAGTTGATAACTTTACTTTTAAAAGACGCTTACAGGCATACAAATGAACTTTTTCTAGTGGTTCTATGTCACTGAACCCCCAAATTTCGGCCCTGTATAAAAGTATTGGTGTTATCTTTGCATCAAATAATTTGTAGTAAAAGTGAGGCGAGTATGGTTTCAAGGAATGTATACTACTTAAAAGGACCATGAACAACTTTCTTGCCTGGATTGCAATAGTACTTAAAGCTTTCGACCACAGTAATCTATTGCTAAAATACAAACCAATATAACTGTATCCAGTAACTACTTCAACCGCATTTCCATCATAATAACATTTTTCATAACGCGATAAACCTCCCTTATTTTCAAAAACAACTATTTTTGTTTTCGATAAATTCACTGACATTTCCCATTTACAACAGCAATCATGCAAGATATTTAACTTCATTTGTAAGTTGTTGACAGTAAAAAATATGAATACATTCCGGATGTAACTGAACACCGAAACGACAATTTTGTTCCATTTCGGTAACCAATTCGTTTATAAAAAACTGAAACAAAAAGGGACTAAGCATACACCCTTGCCTCACACCCATGAAGCACTCAAATGTACCAGATACTCTGTTGTTTGAACGAACACAAGCTTTTACATTACTGTAGATGGATTGTAACATTTTACCCATTTTAGAACTCAAACCATGTTTGTACAATAGCTTCTATAGAAGACGACGCTGAATTGAGTCGAATGCTTTAGAGAAATCAATAAATGCTACATAAAATTTACCTCCTTTACGTGAAAGATAACGCTGAATGACAGAATTTAAAACAAAACAGTTATCAATAGTTGAATAATCTTTTCAAAATCCCGACTGACATTCAGATATTTTGTCAAGTGTTGCAGCCCAATACACTAGTTGTCTGTTCAGAATAGATGTAAAAACTTTACTGAGGATACTCAGGAGGCTTATAGCTCTATAGTTATCAGTAACAGGGGCGTCCCCTTTTTTATGTAATGGGATAATTATCCCAGTTGCCCAACATTCCGGAAAAAACACCGTTTTGGTAAATGCTGTTAAATATGATTTCTAAATAAGGTATTATAACAGCGGACGAATATTTTAGATATTCACTAAGAATGTCATCATGACCAGCTGTTTTATTATTTTTCAGGGCATTGATACTTTCAAAAAGTACGGATCTGGTGATTAGAGAATGTTATATGTCAAGTATATGTCAAGCACATATTCTGGACATGTCACTATGTCCTCCACCTAACCAAGATCATCCTGAATGCCCATCTGTTCGGAATACAGCGACGAGAAATAGTCCCCCCAGTCTTGTATATCAATAGGGTTGGGGCGTTGCGGTCGTCCAGACACACGCTTTATCATGTCCCAGAAACGTTTTGAGTCTCCCGCTGCAGCTTTTTCCGGGTCACTCCTTTTACATTGTGCATATTAATTGGTCCTTCTTTATTCTACATAGTGATCTGTATTCATTGCAAACTTTGTTATACTTAATAAGAATTGAGTTATCTTTAGTATTTCTAAACGCATTTAAATAATTGCACCGTTTATATTTTTTACAGAAACATTCATCATCATACCACGGTGAATGTCTATAGTTATCGCTCACTCGTAGAATAGCATCAGTTAATAGCGCGACTGCACCAGATACGTCTGTAAGAGATTATATATCTGTATTTTGACATTACATTTCGCGGATCGGGCCGCACGATTAAACTATCAATTGACGAAATCTTCAGAGCAGCTATAATCACCATATTGTTCGCGGATGTACACTGCCAGTTAATACAGCTCTAGACATCTCTATGACCATCTTGTTATAACATCACAGTTGAGCCCTATCGCTGTATGCATCACTACCACCGTCCTGTAATAACATCACAGTTAATCCATGTACCTGCATGCATCTCTACCACCGTCCTGTAATAACATCACAGTTAATCCATGTACCTGCATGCATCTCTACCACCGTCCTGTAATAACATCACAGTTAATCCATGTACCTGCATGCATCTCTACCACCGTCCTGCAATAACATCACAGTTAAGCGATGTACCTGTATGCATCTCTACCACCGTCCTGCAATAACATCACAGTTAAGCGATGTACCTGCATGCATCTCTGCCACCGTCTTGTAATAACATCACAGTTAAGCGATGTACCTGTATGCATCTCTACCACCATCTTGTAATAATATCACAGTTAATCCATGTACCTACATGCATCTCTACCTCCATCTTGTTATAACATCACAGTTAATCCATGTACCTACATGCATCTCTGCCACCGTCCTGTAATAACATCACAGTTAATCCATGTACCTGTATGCATCTCTACCACCATCTTGTAATAATATCACAGTTAAGCCATGAACCTGTATGCATCTCTACCACCGTCCTGTAATAACATCACAGTTAATCCATGTACCTGCATGCATCTCTACCACCGTCCTGTAATAACATAACAGTTAATCCATGTACCTGTATGCAGCTCTGCCACCGTCCTGTAATAATATCACAGTTAAGCCATGAACCTACATGTATCTCTAGTACGGTCTTGTTTTATAACATCACAGTTAATCCATGTACCTACATGCATCTCTACCTCCATCTTGTTATAACATCACAGTTAATCCATGTACCTGCATGCACCTCTACCACGGTCTTGTGTTATAACATCACAGTTAAGCGATGTACCTGTATGCATCTCTACCTCCATCTTGTTATAACATCACAGTTAAGCCATGTACCTGTATGCATCTCTATCACCATCTTGTAATAACATCACAGTTAAGCGATGTACATGTATGCAACTCTACCATGCATCTCTATCACCATCTTGTTATAACATCACATTTATGCCATGTACCTGTATGTATCTCTAGCATCGTCGTGTAATATATACAATCACATCGAGTTTTAACCTCTCTGGCAGCATTGTTCAAACAACACCTTTTTCTTAGTTACTGTTATCATGTAACAAATAAATATGCTTTTATGTGTTTTCGATTAGGACATGTTTACAAGCTAACCTGTTTTGTTATGCGCCTGGTGATCTAGATCCTGTCTTTAACCACAGGCAGTAAACAGTCACTTCCTCAGCATGGCATGGTGTGTTATCGTTTATTCTACAGAACAAAGAAGTTCAAAGGTTTGGAAACTATGAGCAGTACTTGACCTGTCAATCAAGAGTACGCGTATTTTATCGAGCAATACAGCAATGCACATTTGATAATGCTCACATCACAATTTGATGCTATATCAAGTAAATGATCACATCCTTGTATTATTGTTTGTTCAGGTGAATATTTGACAGACCTTCAGGCAGGGGTGTGGCTGTCTACAGAATATATAAGATAGAAGGGCAGGCTAAAGGTCATATGCATATCTACAAACATTACTACATATACAATACGATCACCAGTTACATGAAATGTCTATATTATTAATTCAAAGTATTAATTCGTCTCTTGTGATGTAAGCATGTTGTATTGCTACATATAATATGTGTACTCTTGATGCTCTCGATGCCTTCTCACAAACACACCGTGCCATGCTGATGTGCATTTTTGTATAATATTTGCTTCATAGAATACGTGTACTCTTGATTGACAGGTCAAGTACTTTCGGGTCCATAAAACAGATATTGACTACGTATTAAGTCCTTAACTATAAAATATGACCACTTCCATGCATTAATATTTTGTCAATGAGCAAAATCGTCCACTACTAATCTGTACATGGCCACAGGTGTGCGTTGATGTTTTGTATAATGATCACGACCATGCACTAATATTATGTAAATGTCCAACATCGTTCGATAATCCTTACCAGAACACACACCTACGACCCAAATGTCGCTACGCAAATGCACAGTATTACATTAAAGAAACGTATATAAATGAGATAAAGAGAGAACTTGACCTTATTTCTAAAATTATTTACAAGTGTTTGAGGATTACGTTATCAGCCTAGGCTACATTGAGAGTCGCATGTTGGTAGTTCCACGCTAGTCAGGAAGGGTTACTCCTACATCTAACGCTAGATTTGTGTCAACGCTATGCTTCTCATATTGTTGCTGTGTGCATGTGGACTGCCATGGCCTTCGGGGACGCTGGAGCTGATCAACAACGGCTACGAGGACTTTGTGGTTGCCATCAACGAAGACGTGCAAGAGGATACGGGGTATTTTAACCAGATAGAGGTAGGATATAGGTTGATTGTAAGAAAACAGTCGCAATGATCCGCTGACCGGATGGTCGAATTCAAACTTCGCCCCGACCAAAATGTAAAACATCTGCGACCTGTATTTAATTTATTTCCTCCTTTAACTGACAAACACTGATATAACTTTATTGCAGAGATTGTGTCGAATGAAAGTCCTTAAGATAAGATAATATATCATGCAGGAGTTTAAAGCAGAAGAGACTATTATTCTGGGTTACATTCCAATGCCTGCATTTGCAGTACATCATGACAGAAGCATCCGCATATTTGTATCTGGCCACCCGTCAGAGGGCGTACATACAGTCTGTCACAGTTCTTGTGCCTAACACTTGGAGTGACAATCACGTCAAATACACCGACCCAGGGGACGAAAGTTTTGACAACGCACACGTCAGGATCGACAAGGCTAACCCAACGCAGGGCCACAACCCCTACACCTTCCAGCCAGGCCAGTGTGGTGACCCCGGTCAATACATACACCTGACCCCCGAGTATGTCATGGACACCCCGGGTATAAACAGGGAAATAAACTGGGGGAACCCTGGTAAGTCTTTATTTCCGTTGAATAATAAGCCTAAATTAAGCAATGAATACTATGTGAGTAATACATTACGCCGCATTTAGTACTCTCAGAGATTTACACATATGGGAATCGAACCGTTGGTTGGACGAGCCAACACTATCCCCACTGGGTTACCAAATAGCCCGTAGTTTTGAATGGACTGAAATAGAAGTAGAAAGTTGTAGCTGGCTGAGATGATAATAAGGCCTCATAATTAAGATTTTGTCCGAATTTGACCACAATACTTTGTTTTTGAAACCACATTGTGCTTGGACATTAACATGGATTCCATATCTTATATATATCATAAAAAATTAGGGGATATTTTGATTTGAGATGATAGAACAATGTCTGGAAATGAAAATAATTAATTGTTGTAACAAGAACATTTCCGAACAAATCAAGCTCCCAAACACAACATTGTGACAGTTATGAAACACGTGACCTCGGACAGCATGTGCTAGGATGCATATGCCAGATTTACCATTGTCACTCAGGCTCGGTTGCAAGCAGACGCATATTGTTTTCTTGGAACCAAACGCTCAAAGACACTTTATTAATCATATTTAATAATTAAGGAAGAAACAGTATTGATCATGTGACGTCTGCAACGTGTTGAACGTTTACATACCATAGGCATGTTGCAGGTTGGCAAACAGAATAGTGTTGCCCAAACGCTGCATGTTTCTCAATCTGTCATCACCAGATTGTGGGCCCCATACCAACAAACACATAACGTCGATGATCGACGCCGCTCTGGGCGCCCAAGGGCAACAACTGCAGCCCAGGAGAGATTAGTCAGAACGATGGCTTTAAGAAATTATGACCCAAACATGAATCCAGCTGACATTGGTCGACTCATCCGAAGTATGCCTCTAGGATTCGTGCATGTCTGGCCGACAGAGGCGGTTTTACCCGATATCAGTGACGTTGGCTGTAAACTGTAAATTTCGAATTTGACCCCGACCTCTTTAACTACCTAGTGCGTCACCATCTCATCACACCAACTATTAGGAGGGGGGGATAATAAGTATTCCTCATTCATCACATTTCTCCCTTCATTTTACGAAAAGGTTTCACGAAATATTTTTTTTATGCAGCCAAGGGTGATTTGAGTGTGTACTGAACCAACGCGTTTGTTTGTGTGTTCTGCTCATTGGAGCTAGTATCCAAAGTTTCAACTGGAAATAGTCAAACATGACTGAATCAAATTAAGGGTCAATATAATTAAGCCGAGAGTACATGTATATGTAGCATGTACATGTTGCTTATGTCTCAACGTTACAAGAGGTATGAGATTTTTTCTGTTGTAAAGGTTTCTTGTATTACACATGTGTTTCTAATCGGGAACTGTAGTCATTAAAACACATGTGCTTATAACGTCCTAAGTAAAGTAGCTGAAGTGCATACTACTTTCCCAATAAGTTACACAGAGGCGCGGTTACAGCATTCAATTTGGAGGCATTGCGCGTTCTCTTAATGTCCTTGTACAGTATTGATATGTTTTTTCCCAACCACAAGAGATATCATTCAGTCGGAAGTGTATATATTAACCTTCTTCTTACGGTATCTGGGGGCATAAAGTTTTCTGCTTTAACGTTGTCATGCAATAGACATGTTTCCTCCCAACCGGAATGTATGTCATAAAACCGGAAGTGCATATAACTTTTTTATTTGAGGGAGCTAGAGGCATAGGCATTTCTCGTTGATATTATACTGCATTTATATGTTTCCCCAAATCAAAATGACTTGAAATGATGTCATTAGAGTAGATATAACAGTTTCCTCATTGTTTCAGTGGTATTCTAATCTGGATTGAGGTTGTAGTACTTGTGTATTTCACCAAACAGAAGGTAATGGGATCAGACCGGAGATGCGTGGTGGCACGTAATGATTTCAGACATTTCAGATACAAGTTAAAGAACATCGGGACATGCGGAATTATACAGGATTATTGAACACATCTGTCTCTTGGGTATATTTTTAGGTGCAAGGCATATAAAATCAAAAAGTATTTCTGAGGGATTTTGACGAAGAACTTGAAATCATACGCGCATTCTGGTTGGTTTGTCGTATTTTCGCACATAACATTCATCGATCAGGGGACGAGTCTTCTTGCAGGTTACGGAAAGGGGCAAGTGGTGACAAATGGATTTCAGGGGCCTTCTAGAAACGGCCGGGATTGGCCTGCTTCAGGTTGTAGAAGATCTTGTCGAGTTATTTAAATAATCCATCGGCGATAGGAGAATGTGCAAATCCCCACAATTCTCCGTGAAGAGTCTCTGTTAATTGTCGAACTTAGTTGAGATGCTATGGAATGTCTTCGTGGGAATGTAAAACAATCGTTTGTACAGTGTACCACATGGATAAACGATTTCAAGAAATAGGAAAGTTACCAATGGCATGTCTTGCATCATTTTTGACACTCTCAATGCAACTCTCATTCTCAGGTCGGGTAGTGGTTCACGAGTTCGCTCATCTCCGTTACGGTGTGTTTGACGAGTACGGCACCCCAGGGGATCACCAACACCCAGCGTTCTACTTGTCTGACAAGGGGAAGATTATTCCAACGAGTTGCACGACGGAAGTTACAGGGAACATCCGAAATAGTCACACGGGAGGACCGTGCAAAGTAAATACGACAAACAACATGCCTGAGGATAACTGCGACTTTATCATCAATGAAACTGGAAGTCCAGCCATTGCGTCCGTGATGTACATGCAATTGTTGAAAAATGTAAGAACATAGACAGGAGTGAGTGAGTGAGTGAGTGAGTGAGTGAGTGAGTGAGTGTTGTTTTACGCCGTTTTCAGCAACATTCTAGCACTACCACGGTGGGGACATTATAGGAGGTATGATCCAACGGCGGGTCCCCAGTCTAGATAATCCGTCGAAACATTAAAATTTAGCTTAAAGGGCGAAATACCTGCAAAACATATATGAAAGGACCACAGAAAATCAGTGATGACAGCAGGTGTTCGCGAAAATGGTAAGCATGTCCTGTCCTTCCGGTAACATCCGCCATACACACACTTTGCATAGAAAAGTAAATATTTACCGCCTGACGCCGCACACGTTAGTGCTCCTGTGGGCGATGAACCAGGAAATCTGGTGACACGACACTGTATTTTTTGTTGAAATTAATGAACACGATATGTTAATTTTGAATTACGTCCGCTGTGTATAAGTGCAGAGATTTTGCTGCTTATAAGTAAAGAAAACCGTTTAAGAAATATATGCATTTTGCAACTCAGTAGTAACATTTCTGGTTGAGTGCACAGCAAAAGTTCTCTATATTACCTTCAATTGGCAATGGAATCACCCAATGTAAAATGAACACGATTTGACTGTAGCCTTTTGTTAGACATGACAAGTGTCTTAGTTTTTATTTCGAAACATAATAAACTACGTATATTTTTCACTTTATTCAGAAACAACTTGTCATGTGAAATTTAACTGTGGGTTAATCATGAAATTTATATTTACTTTAGTTGGCTGTACTATATCCCAGCCCCACGGCTTCAGGGGAGAGTTGTCTTGCCATGTGGTCAATATTGATGCAGTGTTTCGAGCCAAGTATCTTTTAAGAACATGAACTCACTTAATGTTAGACATTGGTACACGTCACTTCTATAGAAAAATCCAAGGTCTACTTGTGGCACTGAGGAGTTGATATGATGAATAAAGGGAGATAACTCTTTGTATATGCATCTTCAATATTACAATGAATGTAGCGTTTCGGTGTAGATACTAACACCGTTATCAAGCAAGTGATGTACAGACATGTGAACTAGGAAGGTTATATACTTGGATAATTGATTCTTTGAAAGGCATTTAGAAGTGATACACATAAGGAAGAGAATTTTTGGATGTCAACTTCTTTAATAAAGAACACGTCGTTACGTCTGTTTTAATAGTGTGATAAAAGAGATTATTAGCCTCGTGCTTGACTGTATCGTAAATGTCATATATTAGGAATGAAAGAAATGTGCATTATGCTCGCCAAAGGATCGATTAAATCAATTTATTTCCTACAATATGATGCTTAATACTAGGAAACACAGTTGGCTTTTATTCAAAGGGGGGTAACAATGAGAGGAGTACAAAGTGCTTGGACCGCCAGTTGTGCTTCAATTTAAACAACTTGTCACTTGTTACAATGTTAATATAATCTGGTTGTCATCAAGTACATAAACACGTTTCACCAATATATACATTTATATATGTCCTTATTATCACTGAATCGACCAAACTTGATTTCAGGTGACCCATTTCTGTGAGAGCATCACCACAGATCCACATCTGCAGCACAACCCTGACGCCCCAAACATGCACAATAAAATGTGCCCTGGTCGAGGAACGTGGGATGTCATTAAGAATCACCCTGACTTCCGCACCTCTAACCCCTCGCGACCCATCCACACCACCACTCCCACATTCAAGTATATGTACAACAGGAGAGGCTACTGGTTCGACGGGACAGAGAAGTGCGGGAGGAGAGTCGTCTTGCTGCTTGACCTGTCTGGGTCAATGAAGAAGGTTCGTTTCTTTAGAATACATGCTCACAAACAAGTTACACAAAATTGTAGTCCTTAGCTTGAGCGAAATCTCGCCACTACAACAAAGTTACAGTGGTATTAAAGAAACCAACGAGTATTGATGTTAGGAAATATAACTTTTGCCATATAGTGCAAATTGTTGTTCGTATCGAATGGCTACCGTTATACATAAACATAAAACTATGTTTATGTACCCCCCACCCTTCCCCCCAAAAAACGGAACGCATATTTGGTTTTCAAGAGATTCATTCTGTGACTTGAAAGGTTTGGAGTGCATGCGTGTGTGTGTGTGTGTATGTTTGTGCGTGCGTGCGTGCTTGCGTGCGTGCGTGGACGTGTCTGTGTGGAGTGGATGGCGGCAACATTTTAACATGTGCTTGGCACGTCACTATCTCAAACACGGCAGAAAAGCCTAGTACCGTGTACCCACCTTTGAATCCTTGTAGAATAGCTTTCCATTAGTCGTTTCTTCCTGAAAGCGTGTCGTGCTTGCTGTAAATCCATGGCCCTTGTTGAGGATGACGTAAACATCCAACAGATGCTCAGTTGGGTTGAGATCCTGTGCGCTCTGGAAATTAGTCTGTCTACAGACACGTTATGTATGGGGACGAGCATTGTCATGCTTAAGAATGGGAGATCATTAGTGATGCCATATTACTGATATCGTCCCGAAAATCGGGATATTGTGCTCTGGCCAACGTTGAAGCTTGCTGTTGAGCAAGTGTTTCACCAGCTTCAAATCTACTTATAGCGTTATTTCTCACAGTATTACTGCGTTAACGGAATGATTTGTGAAAACGATATGTCATTAACTTGCCCAAGAAACCCGTCACTCAGTCCATGATTTGCAGAATGAAGTCTGAAGACAGTCACCGAAACACTACAAACTTTAGATCCCAAACACAACTATGATACCCGTATGAAATAGACACCATCGAATTCTTGTTTGTTAATTTGTAGCAATCTTCAAACATGACTGTATACCTTTTTTAGCCCTACATTTTCTTTACTGTATTTGAAAGGAGAAACCAAACAATTGTTTCTTTTCACAATACATCTTTCTAAGGACAATTTTTGTTCTAAAACCAGAGGCCAAATTTCCTAAAATAATATCCAATGGTCGATCCATTATCTCTCTCTTGCCCTTACATTTCACGTTTGTGAATACGGCCGACACATGATGCCATTATTTGAACACTTATTCAAAGTTGGGACGCTATTGCAGAATGACAGGTGGTTCAAGCAAAGGCAGACAGCTGACAAATTCATCAATGACATCCTGCCCATCGGGTCCAATGTTGGCGTGGTGACCTTCTCAGATGATGCTCATGACTGGACACAAATAAGCCCACTAAAGGACGAAACTATAAAGAAACAGGTTGCCGGTGGACTACCGCAATATAAAGATGTGAGAGGCGGTACAGCAATTGGGCTGGGCATCCAGCATGCCTTGAATGTGAGTAACTGTCAAAGACATATTGAACGACGGAATTGAGTTATTGCTGCTTCCAACACCTAAACTATATCATGTCTAGCGTTTATGTTAATTTGGCTGCGTGATATAAATGTCTTACACTCAAGGGAAATTGTGTCAATCCAATCCCACCGGCCGCCCGATCCATAACTTTGTGTAAGTGACGGGTTCACCGGTAGGACAGGGCATGATTATCCTTTTCGCAAACACGTGCTGTCATCACTGAATTTTAGTTGTCCAGTCATATAATTTACACCAGTTTTTTGCCTTTAGAATCAATTCTGTTATTCTCTGGCGTTGACATTATATTATATTTGTACTACAAGCAGAGGTTGCTGGGCACATATTCCAACCCGGAATCCTAAAAAGGGGAAGAGGGTTTCAAATCAACTTGTGGTATATGCATTTTGTATCATAGGAAGGTGTTTTGCATCATAAATACATTATGGTTATACGGTATTTTAGTGTAAGATTACAATACACAATAGATGCTCGGCAAGACTGGTGACTCCAAAACGGGCCGTATTTTGCTGATGACTGACGGCGAGGAGAACAAGGCTCCATATGTGGCCAGCATCATGCAGGACATCCTGGCTTCAGGGGTCGTGGTGCACACAGTTGCGTACGGCAAGCAGGCATCAAAGACGCTCGAGGAGGTGTCGTCTCAAACAGGTGATCCGACGTGTGCGATAGTTGTTAACATACTTGTGTCATTGGATGATGATGGTTACTTCATTTTACGAGAGGTTCCTCTTGAGTCGATTTTGCACTTGGTTGTTTCCAAACAGTTCGTGTATTTGCCGAAATCTGTTCAGTTGTCAAAACGGTGTTAAGTTGGATTTGTAACCCGGAAATATTATAGACTTTTCACAGAGATTGCATACTACTCTTGATCTTTTTTCCAGTCCAAAATGTGGCAAAAAACATAGCATCAGATTCGTTACTATAATTCCTCGAAGCGTACTATAATATCTAAATTTGACCATGCAGTACACATATTTTGTGTCGACAGGGGGACTGTACGCGTATTTCTCTGAGGGTAACGCCTCCAGTAGTTTGGACTCCTCCATACAGAGACTCTGGGACGACGTGGCAGTGTGTAAGGAGCGGAGGCAGATTGAAGTACGTGCCCAGTCAAACATCAACACGATTTGGATCACCTCTTTTGTAGGAATTCCCAAAACATAACAGTTCAAAATTATTTGTTTTCTTCTACGTATAGCTTAAAACATACCCACTATTTGTATCAATTATTTTTCTTCGCTTGAAGAGAAACTGTGTTCCACGGTCCAGTCCTTGTCACGACATTCTAATCTGGCCAGCTGAAGGAGGGCAGACAAAACATTGTGACGGAATCATAAGGAGGCGTTTGAAACGGGCACTATTTGGCCAAAATGAAATGGCAAAGTCAAAGGCCTTAGTATAGTTTTTAAAAGATTTTATAGTGAACACGTGAACACATTACCAAACATGACGCTTCGGTGACCAAAATGATATAGTGTTTGTTTACACTTCACTTGTCTTTGCGTGTGTTTGTTACGGGTGCCACCGATGGGTCAGGAAACGTTACCCTTTTCGTGAACACCGGGTATCATCACTATTTCATAGCGATTAATATACACATGCTTATGATATAGTCGGAATCATGTATGGACTGTGCTTTTTAGCAGAGATTTCTTATGATTATGGAAAGGATTTTGTCGCTCATATATCATCATGATCTTTTCCTCAAGATTTACCGCTCGAGTACTGAATTACTCTCCAGCAACGTTGACTACAGTGGGAACGTGGACATAGACGATACCGTTGGTCTGGACACAGTATTTGTTTTCACTCTGCCAAGAAAAGCCAATGTTGATGTATGAATACATTCTAAAATTCACCATAACAGCAAATACACATTAAAACGCTGAATTTCAATAATTCTTTGTAAATAAATTTGCATTTTTAGACAAACGAGAATATAGACACTACATATTGTTAAATCTAACCACTAACTATATAAATGAATTGTTATTTTTAGAGCTTATTGTAATGTTTTATATCAAAACGGTTGAGTGTATTTATTATGTGAACAGGTTCGGCTGAGAAGCCCGGGCGGACATGTTTACGACAGTAGTTATTCCGGATACCACCATGACCTCATAATCAACATCGTCAGATTTAAGCTACAGATACAAGCTGATGAGGTGCTGCGACCTGTGTGCTAGCATAGAACATAGGGAGCTTTAAAAAGTTTCATACATATACAATAGAATGCATTTGTTGTGATACAGTTAAGTGTGTAATAATTTGTATTCTACCTGCCACGTTCATATGATAGCATTGTAGTCAAGATGAAATGAACCGAACGACTATTTTTTAATAGCTGTGAATAGGTATTTCAGACTGGAATTTCAGGGTGGGGTGTGGAGGCACGCTCGGCCCAGCCATCTAAGGCGCCGCTATTCGCTGTGGGTTCGAATCCCGGTTCTCCCGGTTATATTTCTAGGTTTGTCAGCACCATACCCATGCTCTAGGGTTTCAGTAAACTGTTAAACGTCAGAGAATTACACACTTCAACATCAAGGTGACACACCGTGATATAACTGGAATACTGTTATTCTCATAGTATTGATGCAGTGTATTCCTACTTAACATTGGTACAAACAATCGTTCAAATGTATGTAATGCCCATGGATGAATAATATCAACTAGGTATTGATACGCTTTATTGCGTAGCTTGTTTGGTATTTGATGTTCAGACAGGCTTGTGGACCTATACTGTGCGCAGTTCAACAGCGGGACCGGAAACCCTGGGAATAACTGTGACATCAAGGCCACGTGACAGACATGGCAGCTATGAGTTCCTGACATGGCTTAGTGACACCAGCGTAAATGCCACGTCACCTCCGGTTGTGTATGCGCATGTACACAAAGGTTACTCTCCTGTTATATACGCAGATGTCAGAATATCTATTGAAAAACCTGGTGGTCAAGTTGAGGTTATCAAACCCTTGGACAATGGAATACGTGAGTCTTATGTGTTGCATATTCGTGGCAGACATCAGTGTGCGTAGTTTGGTGTTTTTTTACGCCGCCCCCTGTGAAGATCTTTGTTAGTATTGGACTTTAGCAGCACATGCTTGTCGAAAGAGGCGACTAACGGGATCAGGTGGTCAGGCAGTTGATTGATGTGGTTGTATCCAATTTGCCTAGGTCCATGCTTATGAAGTCAATCACTGGATTTACTTGTCCAGGTCGATTATTTGCAGACTGGAATAGTTGGAATGTTGCTGAGTGCAGCGTTTTAAAAGAAACAAAGCAAAATCTAACGCCGCTTTCAAAACAGTTCAGTTATATAACGGTGTATCAGTCTTAAGGGAAACTTGGCTCGAAGTCCTGGTCCTAGAAAATTGTAAACCAGTCATTCAGTCATTATGTTGTATTGAGCATGGGGCTTAATGAAGACGGGTACAACATCATCAACAACAACAACAACAACAACAATAAAACAAATAAAACGTTGCTATATAAGCGTATAAGTGCAATAATCTTTGGACGATAAGTTAAACCCCATTTCACCTCACTTATTGGTGGCACAGGTAGTCCAGTTGCCTCAGTTACACAGTTGCCTTTGCATCACAAGGATCCATTCGTTATGGGCTAGAATCGCAATCGTCCTCATCATCCTTGCTCTGTAGGATGACGTGACACTGGCGTAAAACGAGGGCCAGGGTAACAACATGCATGAGTGCCGTTTTTCGGTATGACGATACCGAGAATCGAATCACAGACCTTCCGAGCTCCGGGCCTGCTCGGTTGGCATCAATACTAGTAAGAGGCAATGAACCTACGTATATCATAGACAACATAAGCACATGGCAAATGAGATGATTGATACATAAATGACGGTCTTTCCTTACAGGATTATCGCAATGTAACTATCCGAGAAGAGGTAATGGAGTCAAGACCCTAATTCACCTCGTCTATGTTCATTCATCTTTACCAACACCAAAGATATAAACATTCACATTCACATTCAAAAGTTATTCTGCGTTTGCCTACCACGAAATATGATACCACTGCAGTACCTGCTATCTGTACTTTCAATAGACATTTTTTTATACACAAGCTCCTGACAACACTAGAAACGACGGTGTCTACACCAGCTATGTGATCGCCTTCGACTCAAATGAAAGGTACTCTCTTGACGCCAAAGTCAGCAACGTTCCTGGAAAGACATTCGTCGTTGTCGCTGCTGGTGGATCAGGGAGAGCCTTCTCCAGACTTAGAAGTAAGCCAGTAATGCAGCCAGTATTAGGGCATATCGTCCACACAATACCCATTACACATCGATCCCATAGATGCGTGTAGGTTATGCGTAGTACGAGGGGTGTTGCTACGTTCTGAGCGACACATAGAAAGACGTGACCTAAAGTAGTACGAGGGGTGTTGCTACGTTCAGAGCGACACATAGAAAGACTTGACCTGAAGACATTAATCTGATTTTTGTTTAACATAATCCCCATGCACATGTCCCACAGTTTCGTGGAAGTCCTCTTGTCTATCCAAAAACTTCTTCACATCTGTTATGACGTCATAGTTCGAGTCGCTATGGGTTCCTGCTAGACCTTTCTTGATGCTCCGTGTAATATCCGTCCTTTTGGAAGATAGTCCAACAAGATCACACCCTTGGCATCTAAAAACACAGTGGGCATATGATGTCAAATGCTTAAATTGTTTTTACTGTTGTTTTGGATCGGGCTGGAAGTGCTGAACCCAGGTTAGATCCATTGCCACAAATCGGAGGACCTTCCTTGATCAGTTTCAAACAGAGCTAATTATAACGAGACATATTGTGCCTGGTGCGTTTGTGATCAGATGTCAGAAGCTTTGGAACCCATCGAGCTGATTCTTTCTTCATTGCCTTCTCATAACTGTGATAATGGAATGTTGAAGTGCCTACTGAACTGGCAATATGACTCTCAGTCATTCGCCGGTCGATCATCACCATATCGAGGATTCTCAGGATCATATCTAGTGACGCTGACGGCTCAGAAATTCCAGGACGTGGGTCGTTTTCACGGCTTTCCCTGTCATGCCTAAGTACTCTCCTGCCCACTTTTTACTGCGGCATAGGAAGGGGCATCCTCCTCATCTCCTTCCCAAACAGAACTGTCTGGTAAGCATTATGCATATGATCATCAAATTTCGTCTGTGGGGGACGTTTTAACCTCTAGGTGAGGCCTTCTACACCTTTTGTGAAGGTTGCCCAGCATCGTGTGTGTGAAAGCTCAAAGAGGATCATGTTGAAACACAATTAGCAACAAACTCCATCAACGCGGTCCATCATAGTTAGGCTCAGAACATTGTCAACCCTCGTAACACGTGTCCTGTTAACCGCCTATAGGTGCATCTTAAGATAGAATAGTGATTCCTTGTGACATTTCCCCAGGAGGAAATTGGAGGACCGCCTTGAAGTTAGTAGCTACCAACTTCAGCCGGACCTTTTCCCCCGGGGTAATGGATGTTACAGGGGTCATCACCGGGCGGGACCGCATACCCCCTGCTACTATAAAGGATCTGAGTGTGGAGGCTGTTAGCGCAGAAACCTGTACCTTCACCCTGAAGTGGACTGCGCCTAGAGATGATTCAAATCACGGGAGAGGTAAGTCCGGCACCAGTCAGTAATATTTCAGACCGCCTCCGTGGTCTAGTGGCAGAGCGTCCGCACGGAGAGCGGAAGGTTCGTGGTTCGATCCCCGGCCGCGTCATACCAAAAGACGTTAAAAGATGGTACTTGGTGTTACCCTGTCTGGCGCTCGGCATAAAGGGGCTAAAACAAGGACTGGTCGGCTCGGAGCCAGTATACTGTGTCTGAGTGGGGTATTCATGTTAAACTGCGGCATGGTATCTCAGTGAGCTTGCACTATAAATCGGCATCAGTCCGGACTAGTACAAGCATACAAGCAGCCACACACACACGTGCATGCACGTCGCTATATTAGTGCAATAATCTTGGACGCGACGTTAAACCCAATTTCACCCAATAACATTTCAGTTATGTCACGCTATCCTGTCAATAATGTACTCTTGGACTGACAATCCAGTTGTTTGATCGTCATGCCACACAATCAATTATTTCTCTCTATCCGAATTGACCGCTCAATCCAATGTGGTTGTCTTTAACGGCAAGCAATAAATCTGGGGATCTATCCTTACCCGGGGTTATGAAACACAAGCTAGGTAGAATAGCATGGTGATTGTGCATGGTATTGAGGAATGAAATTAACTATTTACATATATATATACTTCTAGTATGCCTTCCATTGTAGCTATTCTAGTATGCCTTCCATTGTAGCTGCACGCTATGAGATAAGATTTGGGAGAAGTTTTCGGGAAATGAGGAAGAGTTTCGATGAAGCAATACTCGCAAAGGCTACGTTCCTGGATGGTCCTCTTGTACTCAACACAGCCGGGGAAGAACAACTAGTGGACATTAGTGTGCCACCACATGCAAATCTAACTACCCTCATATTCGGTGTCAAGACGTTTGATGATGCCGGACTGCATTCAGAGTTATCGAACCTGGTGTCGGGAAGTCTGAAGCCGATTCTTTTACCAGGTGGCGCTGTAAATGAGGGTGAAAGCAAATCCCCGCAACAACAAACAACAGGTCATCATAATTAGTTCCACCATTGTGGCTCTCCTGTGTTTGATGCTAATTTTAATAGTCATTGTGCTCAGAAAAAGGAAAATGCAGAAACATTAGGCCAGCGCAAAACACAATAATGATATCGCCCCTCCTTCAGTCGGTCAACAGACTAGAATAATTTAAAAGAATTGTTGATGACTAATATATTTGATTTATTCATACGTATGATGCCACGAACTGTAGGTTTTCATATGCGGATTCAAAATGGATGGGCGTGGGGATGGGGATGGGTGGAGATGTATGCAGAGGTGCATACCCCCTTTTTGAAGCACACATAATCATTTCGTGAAATGTTTTTAAGCAAAATAATTTTGGCTTAAAAACGGAAATTGATTTCCGAATGAATTATTTGCATTCCTCCAGTATTTTATAAGTGCACGCAGCACACCACCACCAACATTGTCAAAAAGCTGTATCAACGCCGCTTGGTTATAGTATTGATAAGAAGAAATATTAGGATGCACGTACATTCAAACTTTTTCAATAAATCATGATTCAGATTGAGTGGATGTTCTATTTTTTCGGAGTTGTTTTGATGTTTCGGGCATTATCAGAAGGGATATCCCATCATGGTAGTCGACTAGGAAAAGATTCCTTTCAGGAATTCGTGACAATAATCCAGCCTTGTAAACCACTGATGCATCCACAATCCAGGACCCAATCAACGTCAAACATGGTTTAATAACTTCCTATCTTTAGGAAGTGAGTCATGAATATTTTGTATGTGTTCAAAGTCGCTTGCATTGAATTTCGTCGCGAGTAAGGGGCGCACACTGTTTTGCCATCAGGTTTAATGCCTGGTCTTTTTCTATAAAGAATGACTTTTCATTGCATTTTGTCGTTACTAGTATTTAAATCAGATCTCGGTAAATGTGTATTTGAATCGGATTCTGGTTTGGATGCAAATGTGGGAATAGTGTAGAATGTTTGTAACGCGAAGAGATGATGATATTAATTAGACATACCATTTTAAAGGTGACACAACCTTTCCATAGAAACAATAGATGGGTTCAGAAATTAGAATGATCAATACCCTGAAATGTCGTTTGCTTGTTGCACGCTACACTCAGCAATATGACGGCGGTCTGTAAATAATTGAGTCTGGACCAGACAATTCAGTGATTGATATCATCGGCATCGATCCACGCAGTTGGAATACGATGACATGCATCAACCAAGTCAACGAGCCTGACAAGCCGATCCCACTTACGACAAGCATGGGTTGCTGAAGATCTATTTTAACACGGGTCTTCACAGGTCCCCTAAAATGTAGTCTGATTGACACGTAATTGATAAGTTCGAATATTTGAAAAAGTACAATGATAACATGCTCGAGAATAAAGTGGTAAACATATGGGGCAAGCCCATACGGAGGTGAATGAGTATGTGAGTCAGTGAGTTGGGTGAAACGATCTTTTGAACAGATACATCGTGGCATCTCAGCTAAATGTAGATTAAACCATAAAGTGATGCAGGTCGTAAATTGGCGTTCACCACGTTGGTGAAACTCACTACCACGGACATGGTTCTGATAAACGCACGATCAGCAAATGCGGGAACGACAAACGGACTCAACTCTTCCCAGCGAATGCGGTGCGTCGTAGCCGATGGACTCCCGCAACTGGATTAATCAGTGCTTGAATTTAACAGTTGTTTTAGTGCCAAGCATTAACTCCTGATACTGACACCATATTTATGTCTTGAAATGGATAATTAACGTTGCACGTTTTCATTAACCTAAACAATAAAACACTGATGCAGCTATAGATAGTATCTGTTAATGATCGTATAATGGTTCCGTCGTGACTGTCAGACAAAAGCACAGTTTATTTATCATCGTCGGTGATTGCATATAAGGGTAAGTTCCCCTACCTTGCTCGTATCTTGTACACAGCATCAGACTTCACAATCATGTCACTCGTTACAGACAATATAACGACAACATCGGACATCAACTTCCTCGACGGATTGGACCTATTCCAGTTGAAAGACACTATTCGACTAACATTAACATTGAACAATATCTTGCTGTGCGTCCGTCTGATAGGCATTGTGCTTAATATCCTTGCTCTCTTGGTGTGGACTTCGAAAGAAATGAAATCGGTGACATCAACGTACCTTATCTCCATCGTCTGCTTCGACCTGGTGTACCTTGTGTCATACGTTGTCAGTAACATCATGATAATCTGCAATGTGTGTCTAGTCAAGCCCACGCTCTGGGTAACGGATCTTGTAATAATGGGCGCCATAAACTTCGGCTTGTGTGGCTCGATCCTAACAACGGTGGCGGTATCATTCGAAAGATACATCGCTATAGCGTACCCGTTCAAAGTCAGGTTCATATGTACAACACGAGTCGCCGGTATTATGGCAGCTTTGATTTTTAGCGTGATTACGGCATATGTCACATTGGATTCTGTTCACGCGCTTGACATGTACATACCTCTTCCCCCGACGCTTGGTCTCAAGGACGTGATGAATGCCGACAACGCAACAATAACTGCCCTAGGGGAATACCCGCTCATATTATTCTCCTGTGTGTACTTCAACGCCAAAGACGTCTTAAACGACTTTCCACTGAGTCATAACATCCTAGTATACATAATACCTTCATGCCTCCTGCTCATCATCAATATCCTCATCGTCAAGAACCTCCGGACTGCCCAAAGCATCACCTCATCTAGAAACCCAGCAGCTGAGTTGGCCAAACGTCGGCTCATCAAATCCGTGGTAGCCATCAGTTGTATGTCCTTGATTGCCTACCCGACATCCTTCCTGATGTTCTTCATTAGCCAGTATCACGTTACATCTGAGGCCTCCCAATTCAGCATGATGATGTTTATTGAGGACATGGTACACGCTCTCAACAGCAGCATAAACTGCCTGTTGTACTGTCTGATTGGGAAACGATTCAGATCAGTTTTCATGAAACTCCTGTGTGGAGGCTGCCGGCGACGACAATCACGTCCTCAAAGAGCCCCTGTCTATGTCATCAGCTCCAATGACAAGAGTTCAAGTACAAGACATTAATACAACTATGTACTAACTATGTAGGAGGCGATTTGTTCCGAGATTTTGTTGTACATGTTCATTCAGAAAATTGGATTTGTGTATTTCTGGACTAGAGGAACAAGTATGTCTGCCGATATTTGCACTGTGAGTTATCTTAATGATACAAACATGTTGTTAAATGACCCTGATATATATCTTCAATAGTTAACTTTATTTCTATAGACTGTAATCTGTGACTGTAATACCACGTGTTCGATTTAACTGGACGCTTTGTGGCTTATTTATGTATTGTAATTAGTGTACTATTTCACTTTGATTATTTTAAAACAATAAAACAAGCCATTCCTAACTTCATATCTCTCTTTATTTCTTTTTTTCGTTCCCTTGCATGTGTTTGAAAGTTATCTGAAGTAGTTTGTAGGAGGTCCGAACCATCCGCAGTCCGAGTCGATTGTGCGAGAAATGGTATGGAACTCGACGTCTTCACATTCATCTAAACTTATGTATCTTTGTTCGAATCAGTATTCGAAATTGCTGCCCGTCAGGGACCGCCTCCGTGGTCTAGTGGTAGAGCGACCGCCCGGAGAGCGGAAGGTTCGGGGTTCGATCCCCGGCCGCGTCATACCAAAAGACTTGAAAAGATGGTACTTGTTGTTACCCTGTCTGGCGCTCGGCATTTAGGGGATAAAAGGACTGGTCGGCTCGGAATCAGTATTCTGTGTCTGTGTGGGGTACTCATGTTAAACTGCGGTATGGTATCTCAGTGGGCTAGCACTATAAATCGCGATCGGCATCAGTCCGGACTAGTACAAGCAGCCACACACACACGTGCATGCACGTCGCTTTTTTAGTGCAATAATCTTGGACGAGACGTAAAACCCCATTTCACCACATCACCGCGGCCCGTCAGTTATCCCGTTGCCAGTTATATTTCAGGCGGACCTGGAATTTTGGACCCTTTCACCTTATGTTTGATATATTAATATCCATCTTTAGTCTGTTGAGTGTTTCCTCATCTAAATCGATCTAGTTTTCTTCTACATAAATGCACTGGACATGATCGACCAATTCATCATCAGCTGACTAGTGAGGCGCCATCAGACGATGAGCAGTTAACACGGGAAGTCTGACCATTCGTGACAAGAAATGATTTTAGACGGGTTCGGACAGTTCTGGTGAACAGATACATGTTGGGAAGCCATTGTTCTTTCAGCGTTTTACTCGCAGAAAAGTGTTGTCGCCTTACAAGACGCGCTAGAGCCATGTCTTCCCGTTCGGTTGTCTTTCAGAGTGCCCCCGACAGCCTCCTGCGTGCCATGATTGTATGTGCTCACTGAACAATCAGATACTTGGCTTTTTATATACCTAACATGCATCAATATCAAAGTGCCTTTCATAAAAATTCGAGGGCGTTGTTACTTATGCCACATATTTATCCGAAGTATAGTTAAGTAAGTGATGGCGTAACAAGGTCACAGACTGTCTTATTGTATGTGGAGCCTTTATTACACAGACACTGGTAGGCGTCGACCAAGAACGTGACCGGGGGTCCCGGTTCTGTGAGTCCCGAGTCCCGTGAGTCTTCTGCCACTCCGGCTGTGTCTCCTCCTTATACCAGTACAAGCGTACACTTTCACACATGATGATGAATGCATTTACAGAAGCGCGTTACTACATTCGTATTGGATAATATATGCAATGAATATTTTACAATTTCTTTTGAATAAACATGAATAAATAAACTTGACCTGATTGACATTTATTCTTATCTATCTACACTCTTCAAAAAAAAGAAACGCATAGGTGTTTTGAGAATTCCAATTAGATTTTTTTCCCCAGCAATCGTCATAAAGACAATTCTTATGGTTGATTCCCGTTAATCATGTTATGTTTGTTGTGCACTGCGCGCAAACACATCTCAAAATGTTTTTTGTAAACGTTTATCAGCAAAAATGCAAAGGATGCACGAAAATTGCTTTCAGAAAATGTTTTTAAGCACAAAGCACGTGCAAAGTGTTGGAAACAAGAGTAGAGACACTGACTATAAAAGACCGTACAAAATTCATCAGTTCATTTCGAATTTTCTGACGTGAACGGAGATTGAAAAATGCCAAGATTATCTGCAGATGACAGAAATATCGCCATTGGACGTTTGGAAGCAGGGGAGTCCCAGTCTGCCGTTGCAAGACACTTCAACGTTCACCAAAGCACCATATCTCGACTATGGGATCGATATACCCGCACTAATTCGACTCAAGATCATCCCAGAAGTGGAAGACCAAGAGTGACCACCCCTGCTCAGGATCGGTACATCCGGTTGCATGACCTTCGGAATCGATTTGCTACAGCAACGGACACTGCAGGACAAGTGCCTGGTATGCGAAGAATTTCCGACCAAACCATCAGAAATCGTCTGAGGTAAGTGGGAATTCGAGCGAGACGACCAAAGGTTGGACTTGTCTTGCGACGTCTACACCGTCAACGACGTGTCCGGTGGTGCAACAGAGTACAAGCACGGGATCTCAGGAACTGGCGACGCGTGTGGTTCAGTGATGAGTCACGTTTTCTTTTTCAACGACGGGATTGAAGACAACGTGTATACCGACGTCGACATGAACGTTTACGTCGAACCGCGTTCGACAGGTGGACCGATTTGGTGGAGGGAGTGTCATGGTGTGGGGAGCCATATCCTACGCGGGTAGATCACAGTAACTGTGAGTGGTTGTCCAGGGCAATCGTACAGCAAACCGATATATAGAACAAATTCTGCGTCCTCACCTCCTCCCAACTTTGGACCGCCAGAGGGAGCTGTTCCAGCATGACAACGCTCGGCCCCACACAGCACGTGCAACAGTTAATTTCCTTGTTAATGAGAACATCATGTCCTTCCAGGGCCGTCCAAATCGCCTGATCTCAACCCGATTGAACATTTGTGGGACGAACTTGATCGATGCGTCCGTCAACGTCACCAGCGTCCCCACACACTGGCACAACTCGCCAACGCCTTACAGGAGGAATGGCGAAGAATTCCCCACGACCATGACGCCCCCTTGTGGCTACACATGTGCAATGACTGAACTGAATTAATGCTGACAATGACGACAATGCTTTTGTCGATCACTGTGTCTAATTTCATTTGATTGTGTTCACGCATATTCTGTGTAGATACTTTTACATCCGCTTAATAAATATCCTTATTTTTTAAATATGCGTTTCTTTTTTTGAAGAGAGTATAGGGAAGCTGAAACTTATCATGCATGACAGGTGGCATGTCGCTTTGGGCGTCAATCAGCAATCCTTAATTACAAATGACGGACACGTCACAAAGGACGAACAGGACAAGCTGTGACGCTTAATCTAATAGTACGTTTGTGTGACGCCAGTGCGACGTCAGTGCGCTAAAAGTGCCAGACGATGATGTTTTACTTTAATGACTGAACTTCTTACTTGCACAGTCGTGTGATGACATTCTACCTAAAGCTTCGATTCCGCCAACATCGAAAGGAGCATTTTTGTGTGAGATATTTGAACGTCCATTTTTTTCAGTTTGATTTTGAGATATTGACATAGTGATTAACACTGCTATGATTAACAGTACGAAAGACTGATGCTGGCAGCTGCTTGGGAGTTCGGAGTATCAGACAACTGCCTATTTTGGTACTTCGCCGTAGTGTTAGATTCACCATCAATCTCCAGTCTTTGTATCTCCTCATCTAACTCGCTATTGTTTTCTTTTACATATACTTAAGGGACAACATCGACCCACAATTCATAGCTGATTCGTGAGGCGGCCGCTCAATATATCGATATCGATACAGTTAGACGCGATTGTTAATGTTAGTTTGTAAATTAGATATATCGGCATATAGTATCTTTGTTGATAATAGCCCGTCGCTTGGCAAAATTACAATGTCACTAGCTTTTCCTGATTACTTGCGAGTTGTGTTTGATAATTCTGTCATTTTTAGCTACAACAGAACAGAACAGATAGCATTGTGTTAAACCTATCTGAAATTTATATCAGCTCTTATAAACGCCAGTTATTTTTTATTCGAATTTAAGCGTATAAATCTATTGCAACATTGATATGATGACATTTTAATGATCTATTCTGTCATTTTGTGGCACAGTGATACAGGAGGAAGCTTTAAGGTATTGGCTAGTGGTGTATATATGCTGCTGGATAATACTATAATTAACTTATAGCTTCTGGTCTGTCTGAGACCGCCTCCGTGGTCTAGCGGATAGTGCGTCTTCCCAGAGTGCGGTAGGTCGGTGGTTCGATACCCGGCCACGTTATACCGAAAAACATTAAATTTGGTACTTGTGGTTACCCTCTCTGACGCTCGGCAATTTAGGGGGTAAAACAAGGATTGGTCGGCAAAAAGTGTCTGAGTTGGGCATCTGTTTTAAACTGTTGCAAGGAATCTCAGTCGGCTAGCACTATAGAACACACACACACACACACACACACACACACACACACACACACACACACACACACACAGAGAGAGAGAGAGAGACACACACACACACACACAATATTGCTGTAATCTTATGATCCAGCGATTGCGATTGCCAATATATCATTTCCCCAAAATGTGCAGTCTGCATTTGGAAAATATAATACGCAAAAGACAAATATATTTTGGATTTTCTGTTTGTAATTTTAGATCGATGATGGAATCCGAATGCAAGTTAGTCGATCCTAACTGTGACCCCTCGAGAAGGTTACAAATGGTTCGACTGACTATCACTTTTGACTACCTGAACGTTAAAGTATTAAACAACTGACTTGTATACATAGTCTTTTTTGTCCACAAGAAACTCTAACTGTCAGATATTTCATAGCTCACCCATTTCAAAATGCGAGTGTGTACTTTCAACAATAAATAAACACGAGGACAGAACACAGATGGTAAATTTCCTAAACAGTTATGAACATGTTTTTGAAACAGCTGCATTTATTTATTTTATAACCTCAATCGTAGGTCCATTCTACACAAGTATTTACGTGT